TTTAGCAATGCTGATCTTTCATATATCATCTTCAGAGGAATGTTTTTTGTTTGTTTACTTAACACTGATCTGTGAATCATTCAGGCATAAAAAGGCACCTAACTCAAGAGATGAACCAGTGTTGTGTCTACACTAAAACAAACAACAGTATTGAACAGTATCTGAAATTAATGTTAAGAAACAAGACAAAAAGTCCAGCAAAGACCTGACACAGGACCTGAGAGAGACTGAACCTTTAGTTGATCCATCCGCTGTACACTGAAGCCTCATCAGAAACAGTCTCAGTGGACGGGTGGCTGTCAGGAAGTCATTTTTAATGAAGGGAAATGGAGCAGAGGCTGAGGTATACCAAATTAAACAAGAAATGGACTGGAAATCTGTGACAACAGGACGTATGGAGTGATGAATCCAAATGTGAAGATGTTGGTTCAAATAGTTTTCACATATGTATGGATGGAGAAGGTCAGAGGAGTTACACTGTGGGCGTCTGGGTTTGGAGATCTTGTCAAAATTGATGGAATTATGAATGCAGAAAAGTGCCAACAGATTTTCATCTTAGTCTGAGAGAGTCATTGTGTTGACTCCACTAAAATATTTACTTTCAAGCTTGTTCAAATTGTACAAATCTGTTTTCCCTTACATACTGCAAGAAATGAGGGGTGACTCAAGACTTTTGCACACCACCTACCTCCTGAAGGACTGACCAACAATCAACACTGTTGTCTATAAAAACAACTCTGGCTGCGTCGTGATCCTGTGTCTGTTAAAGCTGCCTCCGTAGGCTGCAACAGATCAAAGTGAAATCTCAGTTTCCTTGACACCATTATGCAAAGAATATAGAATATAGCCCAGCCTGGAGGGTGTCATCTTTCCTATTTCACACTGAAAGTCCGAACTGCTCTCCTTAGAAGCTCTTTTGAAGAGGGCGAGTGGCTCTGACATATTCTGTTGCATTAATGACATCGTTTCAGGGTTAAATATGCATAAAACATACCACTTGACAAAGTTTTGCTGGGCTCAAAACGCAGACACTTTGACACAATCTACATTCGAGAAGCATCCCGAGCACCCACAATGACTGCAGATGGCTGTTTTTTTTAATATCTTGGACCAGCTTGATCTGTGAACGAGATTTTAAAGAACTAATTTTAAACATCCCGAGCAAACATCCGATACATCCTGCTTCTACTAACTGAAACACTCACAGGCCTTTCCCGTTAACCGTATTTGTGCGCTTCGAACGAAAGGATCGTACAACCCTCTCTCCGTATTAAGGTGTCTAATAGAAAACGTGCGCTGCTCTCCCGTCCTTCCGTGCTTCAGCTCATACTGATTCAGCTGGTTAGGTGTGACTGGAGCAGCTATAATTAGCAATCCTAGCGTGTGGGTGGCAAATGAAGTGAGGGAGCGAAGAAAGGAAAATGTGCTGCTGATGCTTACGGTGCTCTGCTAAAAAATTATGTCATTTCAACACAACTGGAGGGAGTCATTTGGAGATGTCAGGTTTCTACTAACTGTTCGGTGGCAGCAAACAAATTATTACCACTTGATGTGGCAAGCAGTGTGTCATCATACACTCATAACGCTATCATCATTATTGCTCCGTGTTGGAGTGTGCTCAGTGGAGGCTACAGACCAAACAATGACATCTCCTATTCATAAATTAAAAATCAGTGAAGGCAGAGGTCGGCCTATACGTGAGCCTGAATCCATGTTAGTTACAATACTGTAGATCCGAATGGTGGATGCTAAAAGTTTTCACAGAAACCTCTCAATAGTCAAGTCTCCATCTGTATATAGAAGGTCATTGCTTGCTAATATATAACTGTTATTGTAGCCCATGACAACAACAGTATCAACAAGATACTATCACAGGCATGAAGAAATAAAGAAAAATCATGTTTAATGTCAAACATAATAACTGAATACAAACATTCAAACAAAGAATCGAGAGCATTGCTTGTGTGTTAATTTTAGAAAAAGCTATTCTTGTTTATCTCTCGGCGAGTTGTAACGTTTCTCTTCGTCGAGTCAGGTTTTGTGGCTGTTGACACTTTTCGTTTCTATTCCTGTTAAGTTTACATGCTTTTTTCAGCTCCTCTGTATCTTTTCACATGACAGTTTTCCCTCCCCCTCCTGATGATGAGCGGCGTCTCATGTGGTGTGGTAGTTTTCATGATTTGCGAGTGAAACTTAGAAGGAAATTAGAAACGCCTGCTTCAATGTGACAAACCTTCCCGCTAATGGAAATATGGCACGAGTTGTTTCTACGTATGGAGAAGTATGAGCTGCAATTTTAAATCTTAATCATTCAATTCTGCTTCATGTGTAGCAATGCCTGCATAAGAGTGCATACATGTATGCATACCCATGTGGCGCAAAGTGAATGCAATTGAGGGAAATATGAGTGTGGAAACGCTTGAGTGGGAGAGTCGAGTACGATGGGGGATAGGAGGACGAGGCTGTAAACTCCACTGGGCAAAAAAAACAGGAAGGAAACCAGGAGGGGAAGATGAAAAGAGTAATGGAGGCAGAGAAGAGATGCAGGTTGAAATCATTGCATTACACTGCACTGTCTGCACTGCAGGAACGGATACAGACAGAGGACTGTAAGTGAAAGGCATCTTTTAACAGGCGTTCCTAGTCCACACATTACATCCATTGGTTTATGAATTATCACTTCTCAGGTGCCAAATGCTTAATTTATCTCTTATTTTCAGTTTTATTAGTCCTTATTTGTAAGTATGATGTATTTCAAAGTATTTGGACAATTAATACACTTACTCTGCTTGCCACCCAGCCAAGGTATTTAAAGCGCAATAAAACCAAAGTAGTCTTTTAATGGACTACTCAGTTGAGAGACGAATGATGTGCCTCTCATTTTCTCTTCAGTTAATCTGTCACTGCAATTTTTATTAGAATGTTTCCAGATATGTAATTCAAATAAGCAAAAAAGGGCTTTTATTTAATGGACAACTAACATAATAGTAGCAGCCTTATAGCATTCATACATGTGACCAAGAGTCTTGCCATAAGACTGGGAGCCCTGTACTGCCTCACCTGACCACCAAGTGTGACACAAGCATATTGCCACTGGCAGGCTGCTTGCATTACAACACACCCCACCTTTGTCTTCAAATGCGTTCAGTGGGAATGTGTTAGTAGCCTCTGTCAACTTGTCATAAACTCCACTGGTAAATTACATTATTAATATTATAATATATACGTTTTAAATGTACTACAACACATGCCCAATGTGCTGTTTCACAGTGGGTACAGACAGTCATGCAGCATGCTCAGATGTATCTATGATAACTTCTTCCTGCCAACTGACTTACATAATGTCATGTATTGTACCCTTCTTTATTTATAAAGCATTTTTTTCATGATAAAGTGCGTTTAAGTGGATGATGCTGATTGTTCTAAGATGTAAACATAAACATTTGAGCCCTGTGTGAGAACTTAGCAGCAGGAGGCAGGCTTCAGTAGTTAGGGATGTGTGTAATAAGGACATCTGCTAATGAGCTTTGTATGTGTTCGTAAAATTAGCTGAAATCAGAAGAAAACACACTGCTGAGTAGGTACACTGTAACATATTGTAACTCCCGGGGTGAAAATCCTGACATACTGCTAGGATTTTCCGTGATTTCACATTACGTGTCCTTGTGTAATTCTGGCTGTAAGGTGGGTGTGTGGCTAAACTGTGATGTCACCCTCTTGCATCTCTGTGGTGACAGCTGGCAGGTAGACGTGGTCTACTATACAGAAAAGACCATCCATCCCAAGAGTAACACATCACGCAGCCCTGTCAGACACATCGCATCAATACTAAGCCCCCTACCACCCCTATCTGTTTACTAAAGCCACAGCCTGATCTCCATTCACACTAAACCAAGCTCCTCCGTGTCCTTGCGTGAGGCATCACGGAGAAAACAATGGCAAAGACATGTTTTGTCAATGAAAGAGCACACTGATAAGCGTATAAAAGCATGTACTATACATGGAGACGGCAGGCTGTTTGGGACACAGAAATTGTGTCATTGATAGTTCTTCAGTGAGCGAAAACACATTCACCTTTAGGTAAACTGGACCCTTGTTTGCAATGTAAACCCCAAGGAGACAGGAAAAAATGTCCTTACCTGCTCTCTTCCCGACCCTTCCTCCAAAATGGGCTCTTCTGCGGCGGCCGTCTCCTCCTCCGTCTGCATTTTCTTTCCTGCCACTCCTTCCCTTCCTCAGAACGGGGCACAGGCAGCTCCCTCCCCGGTAACCTCCGAAGGCAGGGACCTCCCCGGCGGAGCAGGGAGCTCGGTCACCCCATCCGCCGCAAGTCGGTATATAATTTCACGATGGCGGGGCCTGCGGCAAATAGGCATCATCTACTCCTGGTTTATAGGTAGCCCCTGCCTCCCGTCCGCATCCTCTCGCGCTGACCCCGCTTACTGCTTTGGTTCCACCTGCTCCATCCTCCGGCTCCGCGCTCACAGAAAGACGGCACGAAGCAGCCAAAGTCAAAGCCCCGTCACCCTCCGTAACAACCGTCTCCGCTGACGCCACCTCCAGAAGCGTGTGTATGTGCACGTGGGAGCGCGTGACCGACAGCGCAGGGGGGTGGGGGGCAACCGGAGTCAAGGATTTCTCCAGCTGCACCCCACCGATTTTTAGATTTTTTGCGCAAAGGTGAAGAGGAGAAACGGGCAGCATCGAAGTACGGCAACCAAAACACGAACGTCCGTCTCCGTTTAACTTTATTCGGTCGTGTTTGCACCTTGCTCTGGGTCCCCATTGACGTCATATACCAACAACCCCCGCCCCATCTATTCACCTCATCACGTGCACCAGCGCGAGTCTCCCCCGTAGAGCTAGACACGCGCCCACACTCAGGATGCACGGCTCTAACTCGTACAGTACGAGCCAAATTACATTAGGTAACGCAGGTATTTATCATAATGTGTTACAAGCAGACATGGTCACACATAAGAATTCAATTGCCTCAATTACTTAGGTTAATATTTTTATTTCACATCAAACATCACAATTTATCAGAAATAATCAAACGTGAGATGGTTATAATGTGATGAAGGCTTAAAAGGTGTGAAATCTAGTTGAAGGTGACTGACTGAGAGAAGCTGGAGTCCTTAATATGTCCTGAAAACAAAACGGTTTTATCATTGACTTATCCTCTGTCTGAATCTTAAAGATGTTATTTCATGGTGTAAGACACTAACCTGCGTTTACTGCAGGACTGATCAGGACGCTTCCCTGCCCAGCTGGAAGCCTGGAAGACCTTGGAGATGTTCTTTTTATGGACCCTGCTATGGTCCTTTAGCCAAATTTCATATAATCCCTCAGGAAGGATAGGTGAAGTTAGTTAAGGACCAACATCACTTCTTTCAACACACACGGCATGAATCTTCATTCATCTTCATGAAATTTCATATCAGCAGTAACTTTGAATCTTAGTTACACAAGAAAATCTTTTTTTAACATGAAATTGAGGCTGGAATAATAACCTAGGCAACAACAAATCCTTCATCCTTCTCTTGGCTCTTGACGGAGGCGGTCGCACTTTCTCCTTCTCCCTTATCTTTCCTGCTTGGCTTCTTATGTCATTTGTATAGTCTGGCTTATTCTCTAACTCTAAGAGAGTCTCCTAGACTTGTTCTCTAAAAACCTAAAGAAGAATTATGGATTTGATCAACTAGTCCCTTAACAGAACAGACACCCTCCTGGGTTTGGGAGAGCCCGATTGTCCTGCAGAGACATTTGCTGCCGGATACTCAATGGCCGGTTGCGTCGCGTGTCTGGCGACACTCTCGATGGAGGACATTGAACGACATCTACCAATTCAGAACCATGATAACAGAGTTCTGGCTGATTGGAGCTGGCTCAGACCTGGCTTATCGAAGAACAAGAAGCGGCTACAGCTGTTCAAAATCCCACACGCCTGGCCAACATGATAGACGATGGGCAGGGCAGAC